ACAAATATTTTGTGAACAGAATTGAGGATAATGTTTTGTCTTGCTTGATGTGTTCAAAGCATTATGTTAAGGCTAGAATATTGCCATGTCTACATACGTTCTGTGAGGGATGTCTGACTGCACTTGTAGCGAAAACAGGGATTAGTATGCCCCAACTGTAACTCGGAGTGTACCACAGATGTGACAAAACTGAAGAACCACTTCCTCATGAACAACTTGGTGGAGGTTTTTGAAAGCAGACAGGCACTGGTAGATGGTAAACCAGTGAATTGTGATGGGTGCAGAAAGAATGCTGCAACACATAGATGTATTGATTGTACCAAATTCTTTTGCGATCCCTGTTTTATATGCCATGGTAGTTTGGATATTGCCAGAGGTCATCGCACTTTTACATTGGAAAGATATGAAGAGCTCAGTTCAACAAATCCCACGTCTTTACAGCCTATTGTTTATTGTTCAACACATCATGAACAGAAACTTAAATATTACTGTGATATGTGTGATGAAGCAGGTTGTGTCGAATGTTTTCTGATTTCACATTATGGGCATGGTAAACCAAGAGAAATAAAAGAAGTGGCAGCTGAGTATACTAAGGAGTTGTCAAAACGTGTAGATGAACTGAAAGTGAAATCACAGAGCGCCACCAGTGGTAAGATTGCTATAGAAAATGCAGTAACAGATCTGGACATTACATATCAAGAACAAGAGGCATTGGTGAGACGAAAATCAGAAGAGGTCATTTCAAAGGTCAAGAAAGAGGAGACGAAAATAATTGAAGAATTTCATATGAAGTACATGGCGAGGAAGAAAGGACTGGATTCTCGCACACAAGAACTCAATCACATGGAGAAAAATTTACAGTGCGCAAAATTTTGCAGAAACTGAGATTTTTCATGGAAATAGTTGATGTTCACAAAGCAGACAATTAAAGAGTGAATCAACCACTTGTTGTCCTCATACATGGTCTACAAGAACTGACGCAAACAAGTTGTATAGTAATTATATATTGACATAGGAAATAGCAGCAAGCTATCCACAGACAAACAATAAATCACATACGTTTTGGGAATTTATATTCAGACTGCAAGCAGCACCATAGTGAATCTCAAAGCATACATCACTGAATTAACACATAAAATATAATGGTTAACTTCCACTTTAAATGTTGAATATCATCCATCATGTTATATTGCTAGACCCTGGGAGTTTTGTATTATACTTATAGTTATACAACTATTTGGTCATGGTCATTATATAGTAGGTAGCCACTGTAAAATGCCAGTCATTTGCCTTGTGTTCTTTGAAAATCTTCTTATATCATCGTTTTTCTTAGTAGTTAAATTCCTGCCAGTATTCAGCCATTTCATTACTGAAGTTGTTAAATTATTTCAGATGGTCAGGAATAGAGAGTGCTACTCTCAAATATAGTAGACACACAGTTTTTTTAATTAACATGTAATACACAGACAAAATAATAATAGGTTATTACGAGAATACCGCAAAGTATGCAAAAAGACAGTACAGTGGCAGTATCAACACATGTTCATTTTACACACGAGATGCAATGACAAAGCATTTCTCTTCATGTTTTGACTGTATGATTTACGGTAGCTGTAAGTTCATCCCTTGAAGTCAACGCCAGTATGGTGGTTTGAAATCAGAGGATGTAGTCATGTGCTGGTAGTCAAAATTGTTGGAATTCATCATAAGTTAAGAACGTAATTGGAAACGAACGGTTTCCTGATCTGCTATATAAACATGATGGAGAAAGCATGAATCAAGACTTCAAGATATATGATAAGTAGTTACTTTTGTTAAATCTTTGTTAATATGTAATTAAATTTCAGTTCGCCTTTACCCTTGTTCTTTGTGTATTTATTTATTATTTTGTTAGTTTCAAGATTTTACACACTTGTTGTGTTTTGTATCCTTATTTGTATACAAGCCTTAACAAGCCACATGAACATAACAGTATATACAAGTCAAAACTACTTCCTCAGACAGGTATACATATGGTTTGAAATGTTCTTTTTTTATTTTGCATCTCACATAATACATAAAATACAGTACTTGAAATGCTAGCTAATACTGAAGACACTTGCCAAGCTATGCATTGCTATGTTTCAAACTGTTTATATTGTGGTTTGCTTAGAACCCTGGCTTATTACAGTTAAGATAATTGTCCACTTGTATAAGTGTTATGTAGTGGTTATTTTTCTTTGATGTCCTCCAAATCTTTAAACTCGTCTTTCCAGTCTTGATTCTCATCCTCAAAAACATATTCATCATCTTCGTCTTCATCATAATATTCATAAAACTCGGTTTTAGAATATTTTCTAACATTCATTTTCTTCAATCTGAACTCTTTATAGTCTTTCTTCTCCTCAGTCTCTGGAAATTTCTTTTTAAATTTCATGATTTGACTGTGTAATTCTTTATGATTGATGTTAAACAAATCAGAATCAGGGTGGGAACCAGTATCCCGGTCAGGTTTTAGAATGAAATCCATCTTGTCATATTTTGTTTCCATGGTGACATCCTCTTCCTCTTCATCAGGTCCCAAATCTGCCACTGCGAGTAGTCTCTCAACTTCCACCCTATTGGCCTCTCCTTTGTCTTTCACAAACACAACTTTGGGCAGGAATCCTATCAGTCTCAACTGAGTTAGTTTATGCCTAAACGGGAAGGTTGATAGTATTAAGTTACGGCATTATCACCATATCAGTACATAAGACTATGAGAGGTGTATTTGTGCTGGTGAAGTAGTAAACTTACCTTGGATTCACTGCAAATCAATGAATGAATGAAGTAAACCAGATGGGGTTGTACAAATCTTTATTGTTTTTCATGGTGCCCACATGTATACTGTTTATTACCATTATGCTATTATTAATGTTTAGTTCCTATTTTATGTTTTTATGGCAATTACAATAACTCTGTACTATTAGTATACTGTGAAATACTTTATTTTCGCTGGAATTAATTTTCGCTGAAATAGCTTTTTGGGCGTTTTGTATGGAATTTATTTTCACTGATTTTTGGTGAGTTTAATGTGAAATATAGGAAAAAAAGTATATTCGCTGGATTTTATTTTCATGGAATCATCCCTTCAACGAAAATAGCGAAAATAAATTCCAAGCGAAAATAAAGTATTCTACAGTAACCAAAAAGCACCCACTATCCTCTTCAAAGTCAAAGTCTATTTTGTTGTATTTTTGTTGTAGCTACTCTCTTTAGTTCTTATCAGTAAACTTTTAAACATTTAATAAAACAAGTGGAAATAAGTGTGAATGGCTGTATAAATACTGTCAGAACCAGACAGATATGAAAACCATAAAATAATCACTTTGTTTTACTTCAGCACTAGTCGAAATGTTTTGTAAAAATTGCTGAGAATTTTCAAAATTCATTGAGAAAGAAATCTAGTACGCCTGGAATGCCATTGATAAATAAATTAAACATTAAAGTAAGGTAACTTCTTTGTCACACCAACAAAATAAACCCTCTTTGTTTACAGCAACAGGAAGTTGGCACTGATAAATAACTCATGAATGGTAAACGAGAAGTTAAACAAATATAAATGCCATGAAAACAGCATACTACAAGGGGTGGTAGGCTAAGTTCAGCTTTTAAAATTTGTGAAAAATCAAAATTATGTTTACAAGATTAATCTGAGGAATATGCCACAATAATTCACAAAAAAAATATGAATATGGGAAAATCAGACATGATACTAAAAATGTGATGGTGATGTGAGAAGTACTGCTCTGGTGATGTGAGAAGCACTGCTCTGGTGATGTGAGAAGCACTGCTCTGGTGATGTGAGAAGCACTGCTCTGGTGATGTGAGAAGCACTGCTCTGGTGATGTGAGAAGCACTGTTCTGGTGCTGTGAGAAGCACTGCTCTGGTGATGTGAGAAGCACTGCTCTGGTGATGTGAGAAGCACTGCTCTGGTGATGTGAGAAGCACTGCTCTGGTGATGTGAGAAGCACTGCTCTGGTGATGTGAGAAGCATTTTTCTGGTGATGTGAGAAGCACTGCTCTGGTGATGTGAGAAGCACTGCTCTGGTGATGTGAGAAGCACTGCTCTGGTGATGTGAGAAGCACTGCTCTGGTGATGTGAGAAGCACTGCTCTGGTGATGTGAGAAGCACTGCTCTGGTGATGTGAGAAGCACTGCTCTGGTGATGTGAGAAGCACTGCTCTGGTGATGTGAGAAGCACTGCTCTGGTGATGTGAGAAGCATTGCTCTGGTGATGTGAGAAGCATTTTTCTGGTGATGTGAGAAGCACCGCTCTGGTAATGTGAGAAGCACTGCTCTGGTGCTGTGAGAAGCACCACTCTGGTGCTGTGAGAAGCACTGCTCCGGTAATGTGAGAAGCACTGCTCTGGTGATGTGAGAAGCACTGCTCTGGTGATGTGAGAAGCACTGCTCTGGTGATGTGAGAAGCACCACTCTGGTGCTGTGAGAAGCACTGCTCTGGTGATGTGAGAAGCACTGCTCTGGTGATGTGAGAAGCACTGCTCTGGTGATGTGAGAAGCACCGCTCTGGTGATGTGAGAAGCACTGCTCTGGTGATGTGAGAAGCACTGCTCTGGTGATGTGAGAAGCACTGTTCTGGTGATGTGAGAAGCACTGCTCTGGTGATGTGAGAAGCACCACTCTGGTGATGTGAGAAGCACTGTTCTGGTGCTGTGAGAAGCACTGCTCTGGTGATGTGAGAAGCACCACTCTGGTGCTGTGAGAAGCACTGCTCTGGTAATGTGAGAAGCAGTGCTCTGGTGATGTGAGAAGCACTGCTCTGGTGATGTGAGAAGCACTGCTCTGGTGATGTGAGAAGCACTGCTCTGGTGATGTGAGATGCACTGCTCTGGTGCTGTGAGAAGCACCACTCTGGTGCTGTGAGAAGCACCGCTCTGGTGATGTGAGAAGCACTGCTCTGGTAATGTGAGAAGCACCGCTCTGGTAATGTAAGAAGCACTGCTCTGGTGATGTGAGAAGCACTGCTCTGGTGCTGTGAGAAGCACTGCTCTGGTGCTGTGAGAAGCACCACTCTGGTGCTGTGAGAAGCACTGCTCTGGTGATGTGAGAAGCACCGCTCTAGTAATGTGAGAAGCACCGCTCTGGTAATGTGAGAAGCACTGCTCTGGTGATGTGAGAAGCATTGCTCTGGTGATGTGAGAAGCATTTTTCTGGTGATGTGAGAAGCACCGCTCTGGTAATGTGAGAAGCACTGCTCTGGTGCTGTGAGAAGCACCACTCTGGTGCTGTGAGAAGCACTGCTCCGGTAATGTGAGAAGCACTGCTCTGGTGATGTGAGAAGCACTGCTCTGGTGATGTGAGAAGCACCACTCTGGTGCTGTGAGAAGCACTGCTCTGGTGATGTGAGAAGCACTGCTCTGGTGATGTGAGAAGCACTGCTCTGGTGATGTGAGAAGCACTGCTCTGGTGCTGTGAGAAGCACTGCTCTGGTGCTGTGAGAAGCACCACTCTGGTGCTGTGAGAAGCACTGCTCTGGTGATGTGAGAAGCACCGCTCTAGTAATGTGAGAAGCACCGCTCTGGTAATGTGAGAAGCACTGCTCTGGTGATGTGAGAAGCATTGCTCTGGTGATGTGAGAAGCATTTTTCTGGTGATGTGAGAAGCACCGCTCTGGTAATGTGAGAAGCACTGCTCTGGTGCTGTGAGAAGCACCACTCTGGTGCTGTGAGAAGCACTGCTCCGGTAATGTGAGAAGCACTGCTCTGGTGATGTGAGAAGCACCACTCTGGTGCTGTGAGAAGCACTGCTCTGGTGATGTGAGAAGCACTGCTCTGGTGATGTGAGAAGCACTGCTCTGGTGATGTGAGAAGCACCACTCTGGTGATGTGAGAAGCACTGCTCTGGTGATGTGAGAAGCACTGCTCTGGTGATGTGAGAAGCACTGTTCTGGTGATGTGAGAAGCACTGCTCTGGTGATGTGAGAAGCACCACTCTGGTGATGTGAGAAGCACTGTTCTGGTGCTGTGAGAAGCACTGCTCTGGTGATGTGAGAAGTACTGCTCTGGTGATGTGAGAAGCACTGCTCTGGTGATGTGAGAAGCACTGCTCTGGTGATGTGAGAAGCACTGCTCTGGTGATGTGAGAAGCACTGCTCTGGTGATGTGAGAAGCACTGCTCTGGTGATGTGAGAAGCACTGCTCTGGTATTTATTGCATTGTTATGGTGCAAATCTGTAGTGTAAAAATCACAACTTTTGTACATGCAACTTTCCCCTACTAACTGCCCAATTGTGACATGGTGACCATTGGATGGTATCTGGGAATGTCACTCTCTTCAAAGGATGACAATCTTTATCCCACTAAATGCCAACTGGTCTGACAAAGGCATTACTGTATCGTACATGATTATACTAGTTACAATTAATCTTAAAAAATGCACAATTCCCAATGAAGATGACAATGGAATACTAGACTTTACTGAAGACAGATTAACAACTTACCTCACCGGACCAGCATATTTGTTCAGTAACTCTTGTATATGTTTGTCTTCGTTGATATCTCCACTGGCTTTCCAGAACACTCTACATGCACTGAAGTCTCCAGCCATTGTCACCTAAGATTGGTGTGACAAAGGTTGCATTATATATGTATGATTAATCTCCTTTGTACCTGTTAGCCCATAACCAGAAATGACTTATCTTATATGAGCCTGATAACTCACAACCAAGAAATGACTAATATCGGAGAAATATGTTAACCTAAAACTTATGAAAACCAATTCCTTAAAGGGGAACCGCTCAATCCCATGGATTGCACCAAAGAATCATGGGACACTATTGTTTATGTTGTTTACAATATTAATCTATCTTTTGTTATCCATTGTTATTTTAATCCAGAAAGTAAATTTGTTGTGAGATTAGGCTTAACTGGAAGGTGCCCCGTTAAGAAATTATCAACAAACCTAAAAATAAACCTTTTAAACCCACAACCCAGAAATGAGCAATAAAAAATGAACATGTTAACCCACAACTCATGAATGACCAATCCCAAATCATGCATGTTCTTACCTTGATTAGTTCCACATTCAATTCTTCTAATTCATCACTTATAACATTGGTATTAATCAAATCCAATAGATTCTGATACAAGACTGTGTTAATGATATGAAGTCGAGAAGAATGTCTTGATTTTGGTCTTTGTTCTAGATCACTCCTAAAATCCTATACAAATACAAATAGTCTATGTTACAAAATCAAGGACAGTTGGTAAGCATAAGAGTTATTGTGACTGAGTTCACCAAATACATGTATGCTACCCTTTTGCAACAAATGATAGTAGTTATCCAATATATTATGACATATTTAAGTGTTACTCACAAGACCAAGTTGTGTAGGTGATTTCCCAGCCAAATAAAATTTCTTCCTGGGAAAACAAAAACATACATTTAAACATATTGAATTTCAATGACTGATAACAAACACTACATTTCAGAAAACCATAAGTTTGTTGATATGCACCAAAGTCAGGTAGGATTGTTGTATCTTATAAACATACTTATAAAACAAGACATGAATGTCACAGTCCCTGTTATTTAATTATAAAATACTCATGTTAAAATAATACATGGAACATCTGCAAACAATTGAATTAATATGTACTCTATGTGGGTACAACTCATCATAAAGTGATTTCCCTTAATCTGATGACTAAAAACTTTCATTGATCCCGGGTCCAAAATCTCAGAGTACACAAGTGCAACCAAACTATGTCTTATACATGCTCAATAAACTGCATTCATAAATCTGAATAAACCTTGATGTACCTTTAATAACAACTTGACTTCTTTGTTAGGCAGGCACCTCTCTCCATTCCATGAATAAATTAAAATGTTCAAAATAGTTAGATGTACCAGCCTAACCTGACTTAAGTGTGTAATTTTTATACACATTTTATAACTTTCAAATACCGAGTAAAAACAAATCACATGTTGAAAAACTTAATTATGACAACATACTATGCTTTGTATCAGAACCATTTTGTAACACAAAATAACAGTGTAATGACTTTTAGCAAATAAAGCCCTTCATATCAATTCCACAATGGACAGTGTGGCCTTTGACTAGTGACTACATTTTCACTGCTATCTGAAAATTAGCCATGGTTGAGGAAAGATGGGTATTAACCAAAGGCTTCTCTATAAGGAAAATTACTTGTTGAGATTTGAATGTGATGCAAGGTCTTCGGGATAAATAAATCAAAAATATTTATAAATCATAGTGGTTATGTTTAATAAGGAATCATTATATCAAGATGTAGCCATGATTTCAGCACCTGTTTACGTTGGAATCATTGTGTTGAGAGTTTACAGAAAACATCCATTAACATCCAGGTGATTAGCCATTGTTATCTGAAGATGTACACTATGAAAATTATGTACATGTTGTATGTGTGTGCATACAAAAAATAACCTCTTTCCACCATAAATAAAGATTGAAATATTATATGTTCACAACTTCTACAACATAAATGCAAAGTGACCCCTAGTCCTGGATTCAGGGAGTTGTCAAATTGAGCTTATTTTAAATTTGTCATCAGCTGCCCACTTAACACTGCTACAGAGACTGCTATAGTAAAATGAGACAAGAAATGTGAATACATACTCCAGCAATACAATAACTTTGATTTCCTTTACATGATATTTGAATCTAATTATCCCAAATTTGAAGGGTAATTGAGATTGTCACAGATATACTCATGGACGTTAAAATACCTTCCAAAAATACAAAAAAAATGCATAAAATTT